CTAATATGGGACAAATGAAGGATGACAATGGGTATCTCGTAAGATTATCATTGATCAATGGAGTGTGTGTGGTTAACCGGCACATTGATTGGGTGGTAATCAACATCGAGAGTACAAAGCTAATTTCCATGGTTATTCACACCTTGTTTGTTATCCTCGACATCCTAGTCACAAACTTGAAGGGCATAATCGAGATTAAACACGCCATTCAAAAGTTCAATGAATCTCAAAATATCTAGGAGTTTCAATTCATTTTAAACCTAAGTTTCCATTTTCGTTTTTCATGGTGGAAATTAGTAAATCGTCATTTACCTACCTTCAAATATTCTACAACTGGATTATGGCATCCCTCTTCCGAGTCGTAGAATATTGTATTGAGTCCTAAACTTAATATTTGATTTGGGTGTTATATTAAGGATTTAATATTTGATTATGGCATCTGCTGTTGTTCGATTTTCGATCAACCTTCCTTCACCTTTAATGTGTTGCTACGATATCATAATTGGGGCAATCGAGATGCCGCCGGAGTAGCTCTTACTGCCGTGGTGGTTGGCGGCAGTTGACTGCCTTTGCCTTTCTCATTTTTCTCCGATCAGCATAGAGTCGTAGCTCCCCCATCAATTTAACTGCTTCCTTTCACGATCATTAAAGATGGATACATGTTCCCTTTTTATGGTTTTTCCCTAAAGCAACCCCTCATTTGTTTAGGATGTTACCAAATCAGTCCCTCCGTTTTACTTTTATATTAAAATCAACCCCTTGACATAAATCTTTGCAAATCAAGTCATATTTGATTTATTCATTACAAGAATGGTCTCTTTTGGACATAATTTATTTCAAAAATAGTTTTTGTGTTAGTTAAATTTGAAAACAATTTTTAACATATGGTATTTGCAAACAAGTCCATTTGATTTAAAATATTACAAAAATAGTCTCGATGTTTGTTTTAGCTTAAGAAGGAGTTAATTTCAGTTTCCCACCCAAAGCTTCTAAAAAATGAACGAACTTCGAACGAATCAAACTCGCGCTTCAAGGGTGAGTTTCTACGACCCCTCGTGTATATTTTTAATATTTGGGGGGAGAATACATGCCTATCTATTAAAGTTTTGATGATTTTCATGTTTTATATAAAAAATAGCATCATACTTTATTATTAGTCAAAAGTTTATGTAATACCAATCTCAAGTGTATAAATCATCAATAAATTATATAAGCTATAGTAGAATGCTATAAATGATACAATTACATCTTGTTGTGATATATTAATTAATATTAATAAAAATCACAAGGTCTTAAGTAGATTGCTATAAAGATATAAGTATAGTCGACGAAACAGAAATTGAAAGCCTTTATATATATATATATATATATATATATATATATATATATATATATATATATATATATATATATATATATATATATGTTGAGAAAACATGAAAAAGACATTATTCATATAACCAAATATGTTATTAAACATATTTATGTACACAACAAATGTACATTACCTTAATCGGTTTATGAACGAAGATTGAACAAATACATAATAATTGATTGAAAATATACCTAAAATCAATTATTGTTATTATTATACTCTTAATCATCATGTAGAAATCATTTTTAATTAAACAAAATATTTTATTCTCATATTCTTATAAAAATATAAACTATTCTTACTGTAATATGATCTCCATCATATATGATAACATAACTGATTCTTCAATTTTAAGAAGCGTTACCCAATAAATTATATATCATATCAATTATGCAACTTATCAAATATTATGAGAATGGATGGTTTCTAATTGGTTGCAACCTGGAAAACATTATAAAAGCAGTCCTTATGTTGTCCAAATGTCATCATAACTGACAATAGAAATTTGGAAATCGTTTAAGTGTTACGAATCTCAAATACGAAAACAATTAAATCAAAATCGTACGGAAACATCAAAGAATTATAGGTATTCAAGAGTCTTATATCATAATGTTTAGGATTAGGATTCCTAGACACATTGTTAGGATCCAACATCCACATGACTTACTATATGAGCTATGTTTGTTTTTAACATTCGTAAGAGATTGGGTCATTTCCTAAGCTATGGGCTATGTTGTTTTGTACACTATAATGGTGGTCTTATTTAAAATCCTCTATATTATAACCGTTAATCCGTATGGATCGTGAAACGTTAGGCACAGATCAAAAATACTATTTATACGGGTAGACATCCCGCCCACTATTGCTAGCTACAACCATCATCTGATGAGACGATTTGGTGTTCACATTTCTATTTATTTACTCCACAACGTTGATAAAGCGTTAACATGGAACAATTAGCACGCCCATGTTAATGTTATGGAACTTTTAGCACGCCCTTTTAGCGATGGTGTAGAGGTGTCGCGTCGCAGTTCGGTTATGAGCTCATTATGGACCCCGTGGTTTTTCCTGTTATCGTATAGAATTGATATCAGAATTATACGAGATTTTTGTTCACTTAAACTAGTTGAAAGAGACTCTATGTAGTGGAATAGTTTGTGACTCAAAACGATAAGTGTCAATACTACAAATTAAGTCATATAACACTTAATTAATATCATGACAAGACTAATTAAGGTTTAATAACTTACAATTAATAAGTTATTTATATAAACTCTTTGTTTTTATACGAAAACACCATATTTTTGTGGCAGGAATTTGCCCTACTAGTTAAGTGTCAGTTCCCAAATTAAGTAAGATAACACTTAATTAATACTACAACACAATTTTACAATGTTTATAAATTCGAAACATATGGGTTTTACATATAAACTATACGAATGCTTTTACAAGGTTTCAAGAGTGAAAGCGGATATTTTACGATTTCACAAAGATTGATACGACTTTAATTTATATAAACTGGTATTCAAAATCCTTATATAAAAGACATTTTTGGTCACGGGAGCCGTAAAATTTGATATATATATTTTTTTTACTTATGTGTATTTTGCCAAATTTCGTACTTTTAGATTTGAACAAATGGTATGTATAAACGAGTCCAAATGCATTTTTACACCTTAATTATTTTATACTTTTGATAGAAATGTACGTATTTATAAAAGCTGGTCAGCCGGATAAATTTTATAAAACACTTTCTATTATAAAATACTTTGTTTCAAACTGTATAGAACTTACCAATAATTTTTGTTGACATATCTTAATGCATGTATTTATTCTCAGGTAATTTAGCAGGTCAAAAGTGTTCACTTAAAAGACTCTCCGTTATTTTTAGTATACATTTGTAAAAACTAGATTGTTAGGCAAGTGTCTCGATTTAGCAATAGTTATTATTAATGTAATTTCTATTTCGGTAACAATAGAAGAACATATTTGTACTGTTAAATGTATGTTCAATAACTGTGATCAGTGATTTACGTAGCGCACCTCCGCGTTTCCGTTGGCTGCCTCGGGTGTAATAGAATTGGTGATTACACCAATGAGTGTACATCTAACAAGGTGTATTACAAATGTAATGAAGAAAGGCTTGTTGCTAGGGACTCCTTGAAGAAGAAGGAGGTTGCAAAGCCTAATAGGTCGACGAAGCCAGAGGGAAGAGCATTCCAAATTATCCTTGATGAAGCAAGGGTCGATGCAAGGGATCAGGAGTAAGGATCTATATATCTAAAGATCGAGATTTAAAGTAGCGATATAGATAGTATCATGTGGTGTAGCCTAATATAAGAGGCATAGTATAGGGTGAACTTGAATATCTTTGTAATCGTTTCAAGAAATACCTAAAAACACATTTCTTCAACCTAGTACGCCCAACGTACTAGCTAGTGTATATGTGTATGCCCATCGTACGGCAAGACTTGTTATTTCCACCTTAACTTTAAGCAGCCATAATTTCTTTATTTCATCTCCGTTTTCAATGATCTTTATATGCACAGATAGGTATTGAAGAGCCCCACAATCCTATCAAATTACTTTTAACTTAAAACATACCTAATTACTTTTAACTTAAGACATACCGAACTAAAATCCTTATCCAAAAAGAAGTCGGAAACATCACTTTTACTGTTTTACCCTTTGACTCCAAAACACAAACCAAAGGCTCGGATTGCATAACCAATATTATCAACATCTAGTAGGGTCTAAACTGTATTCCCTTGAAGCCCAAGGTCTTTACTTGATCAATTTATTGTCTAAAATCTCAAAATAAGAAACTTCTTGACAGGATGTTATACGAGAGCTGCAACAATCTGACTCTTAAGTCCTGGGAGAAGAATTGAAAATGAAATCGATGGAGAAGGAGCCGAAAACTATGTGGTCGCATGTTCTACTTCCTCATCACCGATATTACGCTTCTTCATCGCTAATGATGTGAACAGTTCATGAAATTGATAGAATTCAAGTAAGAGAACACAAAATTGACAGGTTGTGTTGGCATTCGCCGGTGAAATCATCATAGAAAAATGAAGGCATAAGAGGAAAGGAAAGCAACTGCGTGAAGTGTATATCCCATCAAGCCTTTAGCAATAATGGGTATTAGGGGCGAGGGATTTGTATAAGTGGCGACAACAACGAATTAGCAGCAATGCGTTTTAGAGGGAATTTATCACGGTCTTTTTTTTTTTTGAGTAACAGCAGCCATGGGTGATAGGCGTCACTCCTAAAGGCGTCCCCATTGTTACTATGTATGACGACTATTATGAGCTATTGGATTAGGAACAAATCAACGACCAGGGTTTATTACTGGGGTTGACACGGATCACGGTTTATTACCAATAGAGCCGACGACTTTATGGGTGACAACCCCCTTTAGCGTTAACATACGGCACGAAAGGGGGCTGTCACCGCTAAAGGCGTCACCAATATTAGTGAATCTTCTTACAATAATCAATGTAAAATGTAGATAGGCATTATGAACTCTATTTAAACGAGATAATGATAATAATGACGATATATATTATATTATCTTGGATACATGTCAAGAAACAAATTTGAAGTTATGTTTTAATCAATGCTACTTTTCATTTCCTTCAAAATCTGCTGCATCCTCAATCCCCTCAACAACTTCGTCCATCATAAAGCGTACACGTTTATCCTTGCCACTTGAAGCTGGCCCCCACCCAGGACCTGGCCCGGCATAGTTCCTCATTAAGTGCTTTTCATTTCCCCTCTTTATGCACCGATACGCAATTTTTAAAAGTATACTCAAAGAACGGCTATCAATTTGATCTCTTATAAAGGGATCAATGAATTGGTTGAGTGCATTGTTGCGATAGTACTGTTGAAATAGGCCTATTTGGTTTTCTCGTTCAGCATATCTGTCTAGTTCATGAGCCGTGATTCCACTCAACATTTCATACATTATCACCCCAAATGAGTACACATCTGGTATGTGTTCATGGAGTTTATGATATATGTGATGTCTCTTTGACAAACCAAAAAAAGTGATTTTGGCTTCCATATTTTCGTCTAACATTATGTTAAAGTTGTTGATGTTTCCGCGTGTTATGTTCTTGTCCTCCCCACCGATCCAATGAAGGTACTGGAGTCCTCTTGCTGCCCCTAGGCAAATTGTCAGCCGTTGTGCCCATGTTAGTTTAGGCAACTTAGTGCTCCAGTTTTCGAGATGATCAACAAGGCTTCCATTGACATAATATTCATAAACGATAATTCTTTCATTGGCTTCATCACAGTAACCAATGAAAGTGGAGATGTTTTGATGGTGAAAACTGGAAATTATCTTGAGTTCTTTATAGAATTCATGCTCGGTGTTTGGAGACAAGCGTTGTATGGCCATGGTGCGTCCATTGAGCTCTCCTTTGTGCACTACGCAATGTTCATACACTCCGATGCATGTTTTCACGTCAAAGTTTTGGGTGGCCAAGTTGATATCCTTCAATGGAATTAGAAAATTTTCTAGGCTTCGTGTGGGAATGGTAGAAGGTGATTCGTGTTGATTCTGTGAATAAAAACATAACCGAGTTTGATTAGAGGGGCATGCGTGTGACGATATATAAAGAGATTAAATCACACTTATTTCAAATTATTTTTTTTCGCAAGCGTAGCTATTAATTAATAGTTGCCAGGGACATAGTGGGAAATGATACATATCTATCATTAATTTTGCTGGTTGTCATGACATATAATAGGTGCTTGAATAGGGTTTTCGGATATTTGACTTAACTACTTTCGATATAGAACAAGCTGGATTTTGATTAAATAAAATAAATATTCTAAAACAACTATAAAAAATCTATAAAACCCTTAGCTTATACAAAATTTATGTTTAGATATAGGCCTCTGAGCTTCTACAAAAAAAATCGTTGAAACATTTGACTTAACTACTTTTAAGATCAATACACCAAAAAAGACCTCAAGCGTCGGTATAGGCCTCTGATCGAATAAATTGGGAAATCAGATCGAATACTTAACTTCTTCTGATGAATATAAAATCTTTTGTAAAAATTTTAAATTATATATTAGCCATCTCACAGTTGTAGGGTCTTTTTTATAATCAAAATATACTTATAGAAAACTGAAAGTATTCCATTCATAAGAATATGTTTATTTCTTTTATATGTATAATATATGATTGGTGTTTATTATTTTTGGTACATAAAATATCAGAAATATTTTGTTAAAAATGATTCAGATGAAAAGACTTACTAATTGAATTTGCAATGCATGCTCAATCTTCCTGATGATCCTAGCCATCGGTGGGCGCTGTTCTAACTTCAGGTTAATGCACTCATGTGCGATTTTGTTAAATATATTAAAAGAATCAATATTAATATCATCTCTTAAAATAGGATCAATTAACGTTTCTGGTCTTGCAGCATTCTTGACATCGTCATAGCAGCTTCGGACCACATCAAGGAGAAATTGTGGCTTTGAATCACTTCCAAAGCACTTCGGATGATATACCAATGTCCCACTCGACATTTCAAACATTACAACTCCAAACGAGTACACATCTGACTCTTTCGTGAGCCTGCTTCTTTCATTGTAAACCGGATCCATGTAATACCTTGTCCCCGCAACCTTCGTTTGAACTTGGCTATCTTCCTCATTTCTTGCACCAAATTTTGACAAACCAAAATCACAGATTTTGGCATCCAGATTGTTATCTAAGAGTATATTTGCACTCTTCACGTCTCTGTGAATTACTCTTTTGTCTTCCCCAAGACCAGAGTGAAGGTATTTTAGCCCTTTTGCTGCACCTAAGCAAATCTTCAAGCGTTGTGCCCATGTTATTCTACGCATCTTATCCGGCTTATGGAGATGATGATCAAGGCTTTTATTGATAGCAAAGTCGGAAACTATGATCATCTCCTTGGCCTCATCGCAGAAGCCAATGAAAGTGATGATGTTTGGATGATGGAAACTGGAAACCATATCGAGTTCATTACGGAACTCGTTGTTTCCTTGATGACCACCCGGATTAAGGCGTTTGATGGCTACTGTGCGTTTTTTCCATTTTTCAGAGAGTTGTCCGGTGTAGACAAAACCGAATCCACCATCTCCGATCATTGTTTTTGAGCTGAAGTTTCTTGTGGCCCGCATGATCTCTTTGAGTGGAATTCGATACTTTTCTAGGTTTTCCGCTGAAGAAGACATTGTTTTTTTATATGTTGGTGATTTTTTTGAACAAAGAAACTGAATAAGAAAGCACCAATGCGTGGTAATTATGTATGGTAGACGGAGCTTTGTTATTCCTGTTTATATAGATGTTTATATCTAGACTGAACTTAAAATTGTTTAAAAGATTCTGCCTATATTGCCCTTTGCTTAAAGATTATTACATATAACCGTTGACTATGATCAAGTCCCTCGAATAATTTAATCGCATTACTGTACAAGACGGTGAAAACGAAATTATGGTCCTTTAATTTATTGATTACCAAGGCAAAATAGACAAATTTTAATGATAAAAAATACAATAAACATATAATTAACCAAATATAATAAACGGTGCTTACAAGCAACCCAATCTTTTAAAGGAACCTGAAGGCTGAAGAGTTGATTTTTCATTCTTTTTTCTTTTGGAAACGCAATAGGGATATATACAGTAAAATCCCAATATTTTCATTGATTTAACAAGAAAGTCCTAAACTTTATTTTTTTGATAGTAAAATCCAAATTACCGGTAGTTTTTGACACTTTTACCCTTTTTCCCGGGTTAGCCGGTAATTAGGACTTTTTTGTCAACAAAATAAAGTTTAGGACTTTCTTGTCAAATCGTCAATTAGGACTTTACTGTCAAAAAAATAAAGTTTAGGACTTTTTTGTCAAATCGTTGAAAATATTGAGACTTTAGTGTATATATAATTTTTTTTTGTTAGAAGTTTAATGGTATGATACTCTTTAAATATAAGAGTTATTGAAACCTTCTCTAATCAGCTAGATCCTATTGAAATCCTTTACGTTTGCTTCTTGTTAAATCGTTTTTTTTTTTTTCAACAAATCGACATTGAAAAAAAAAATTGAGATAATCAAGAAATAAAGAAAGAACCAGGGTTGTGCTATTTCATTTTTTTCGGTTTTTTTCTTCATTTTTGAGATTGCAAAAAGCCAACACAACCCTAGTTCTTTCTTTCTTTCTTGATTATCTCATTTTTTTTAATGTCGGTTTGTTGAGATTAAAAAAACGATTTAACAAGAAGCAAACGTAAAGAAATTCAATAGGATCTAGCTGATTAGAGAAGGTTTTAATAACTCTTATGCTTAAAGAGTATCATACCATTAAATTTGTAATAAAAAAAAAGATTAAATATACACTAAAGTCCTAATATTTTCAACGATTTGACAAAAAAGTCCTAAACTTTATTTTTTTGACAGTAATGTCCTAATTGATGATTTGACAAGAAGTCCTAAACTTTATTTTGTTCACAAAAAAATCCTATTTACCGGCTAACCGGGGAAAAAGGGTAAAAGTGTCAAAAACTGCCGGTAATTTCGACTTTACTGTAAAAAAAAATAAAGTTTAGGACTTTTTTGTCAAATCGATGAAAATATTAAGACTTTACTGTATATATCCCAACGCAATACAATAAATTAGAAAAAGAAAATGTAACTCCTTGAAGCTGAACAAAGTACATAAACCAAGAAGAAAACAACAATAAACAACAAAGGAAAAGTGACCAAAAAAACTACATCAAACAAAGAGAGGCAAAACAAATGAACAAACATAAAAACAAAGAACTTCAAGATAGAGCCAACGGATGAAGGAAAAGGATCCATAAAATCAATACCCTATATATCAAATATTTCACAAACCAAGATGGGGATCAAAGACATTTGGTTTCGGGAACTCAAAGAACCTATAATTTGACATCTCTCACAACTTTTACAAAAAGTGTAAGAGTCATGAAGGAGTCGATGCCAATAAAATCCACAATCTAATTTTTTTTTGGCAGTTCTTTGAGGACTGAAATGTTCTTCACAAGCATAACTATGACAAAAGTTGAGGATAGATTGTACCTCAATTTTTTTTTTCTTAAACTCGGCTTCGAATAATTCTTGATAAGTAAGTGTTTTATAGCTGCATGGTCCAAATATATGATCACTTTAGTTCCAAGGAGATATTGCCGGAACTTCTCTAATGCAAAAACAATAGGAAGAAACTTTTTTTTTCTGTTGTGGTGTAGTTGTTCTGTGCACTATCAAGGGTCTTAGATGCATAGTATATAACATGATGTGTTTGATCCACCTTTTGACCCAATACCGCCCCAACAGCCGTGTTGTTAGGATCGCACATGATCTCAAATGGAAAATCTTAATTAGGTGGTTGGATGATTGGAGCGGAGGTGAGTAAATCCTTCAAACGATCAAAGCATCATTGCATGGCTGAGTAAATTCAATTCGACACCTTTTTGGAGTAGTTGACACATCGACACCGTAATCTTTGAAAAATCTTTGGTGAACCGCCGATAGAAACCTGCATGGCTAGGAAATGAATGAACTTCCCGAACATTTGTCGGGTAAGAAAGACTCTTGATAACATCTATCTTGGTTTTGTCAACTTCCAAGCCTTTATGGGACACAATATAACCTAAAACCAATCAGTTGTCCACCACGAAATGACATTTTTCATAGTTAAGCCCAAGATTTTTGTCAATGCACCTTTGCAAAATTTTTGTTAGATTGCTTAAACATTCATCCAAGGAGTTTCCATAGACTGTGAAATCAAATATGAAGACTTCAATGATATTTTCAACATATTCAGAAAAAAATGTTCACCATGATCTCTGAAATGTTGTGATTGCATTGCATAGACAAAAAGGCATACGCCTATAAGAAACTATGTCTAAGGTTCAAGTGAAGGTGGTTTTCTCTTCATCTTCTGGGGCTACCGGAATTTGAAGAAAACCCGAGAAACCATCCAAGCAATAGTAATGAGATTTACCTGCTAATCTCTCTAACATTTGGTCAATGAATGGCAACAGAAAATGGTATTTTCTCGTTGAGGTATTCAACTTTCTATAGCCAATACAAACTCTCCACCCGTTTGGCACTCGAGTTGGCACCAAATCTCTCCTGAAATTCTTGACAACTATGACCTCGACCTTTTTAGGAATACCTGAACGGAGCTCACCTATTTAGTATCTGAGATAGGGTAGATCATACCTGCATCCAAAAGCTTCATGATTTCTTTCTTTACCACTTCCATCATGGGTGGATTTAATCTTCTTTGTACCTCTCGGGTTGGTTTCAAGTCTTCCTCCATGAGAATCTTATGCATGCACAAGGAAGGACTCAACCCTTTTATGTTAGCAAAATTTCCACCCAATAGGTATCTTATACTTTTTCAGTAAAGTCACAAACTCAACTTCTTTTGCAATGGAAAGCTTGTTGGAGATAATAACAGGCAAAGTCTTCTCTTCTCCAATGTATGCATACTTCAAATGATCTGGAAGAGTCTTCAATTCTAGCCTAGGTGCCTGCACAATAAAAGGAAGAAGTTTTGTATTAGAAATGAGCAATTTCACATTGGTATTATCATACCTCATTTTCTTCATTTCCTCCATGAACTCTACAACTTCCAGCAACTCTTCATCTAACTTGAAATTTTCTGCAATCTCTTTAACTGAATTGTTATCAAAATTCATGCTCAAAAATAACTCCAACAAATCATGGTTAGTCAACTCAAAACACTTTTCAGTCAAAGGTTGGATCATATCAACAAAATTTGTACAATGAACATCACCTGGGTACCTCATTGCTTCATAGATATTGAAGCTGATGACCTCCCCATCGAATTCCTTAGACAATGTACCATTATAAACATCAATTTTTGTTCTTGTAGATTTTAAGAATGGTCTACCTAAAAGTAATGAACTCTAGGATGGGTGGTCATCATCTCCCATATCATGTACATAAAAATGTGCAGGAAAGACAAGTTCATTAACTTGCTCTAAACATCCTCTAATACACCTTTTGAGTGTACTATAGAATGATCTGCAAGTTGCATAATCACCCCGGGTTTTTTAGAGTGCCTATGCCAATAGATTTATAAACAGAATATGGTAAAAGATTGATTGAAACTCGTAAATCTAGCATAGCACGGGGAACATAAAGGTTTCCTAATATTCAAGGAACGGTGAAAACACTCGGATCCTTGTACTTTGGGGGCATCCTTTTCTGCAAAACCGCAGAAACATTTTCACCTACTTTCACTATCTCATTACCTCGCAAATTCTTTTTGGATATGCAAAGTTCCTTAAGGAACTTAACATATCTAGGTACTTGTTTGATCGCATCTAACAGAGGGATGTTGACTTCCATTTTCCGAAACATTTCCATGATTTCACTATCTTCTCTCTCTTTTTTGTTGCTGCTCAATCTTGATGGAAAAGGTGGTGGTGTGATCTTTACTTCTTTCTCTTCCGACTTCTTTTTCTCTTCCATTTTTTCTTTCCTTTCATCTTTCTTTGGTGGTTCTTCTATCACCAACTCTTCTTCTTCTTCTTCTGACATCTTAGGGCCATCGTATTTCTTTCCACTCCTCAAGCTAATTGCACAAGCATTGTGCTTTGGGTTCTTTTCGGTTTGAGGAGGCATTTTTCCTTGTTTCTCAATTTTGCTCACCGATTGAGCAAGTTGTGCCATTTGTTGTTCAATATTTTTGATGATTGCCTTGGTTTCTTATTGAAAGCTTTGAGTGCTAGTGGAAAATCTTTTGACTATGTCTTCTAAGGACATGCTTGAAAACCCGGCTTGTTGAGGAGGAGGTTGTGGTTGCCTCGGTTGGTAATTTTGTTGTGGGAATGGAGGCCTAGCTTGGTAATGGGGTGGTTGTCTTTGTTGGTAGCCCATGTTTTGGTTGTTGTTCCACCCATGATTTCCTCGGGGCTGATCATAAGTTCTTTGATTATTCCTCAAATAGCCTCCTATAGCATTTGCTTCTTCATATTCTTGTTCTTGCAATTAAGGACACATATCGGTCGGATGTCCCACTTGAGTGAAAATACCACAAGAGCAGGATGTGGATTGCACACCTTTGTCCTTAGCAAGCATCATTACCACCTTAGTCAATTAGGATAGTTTAGCTTCAATTTGGGGAGTGTGCACCTCTTTTACACCTCGGGGTGCATCCGTGTACCAATCTTCATCTTAAC